TCTCTTTCTCCGAAGATTAGGGCATTTCCACCATGGAAATTCCCTCTTAGCTTCCGCAAATTTCACCGTTAACATGGTATCAGAGCCAGGCCCATCCCAATTATTGTTACTAATGTCGGGCCCCAATTTATGTTGTCCACGCTCCAGTTTGCAGGCGTGGGCGTGAAGGGGGGTGTTGAGTTATCTCACATCGGTGGGATTTGAGGTCCTTGGTCTCCTTATATGGTCTTGGGCAATCCTCACCTCATAAGCTAGCTTTTGGGATTAAGTTAGGCCCAAGGTCCATTTATCATCCTGCGGAGTTTAGTCTTGCGAATCTATTTTCCCTCCGTTGGGTATCGTGATGACACCTAGTCTTAGGAACTAGGTAAGCCTAACATTTACTGAATAACAATAACAATAACAATAAATAAATCTAACAGTCTCGAAATAGAAATCTCTACAAAATTTACAATTCCCAAAACCGATAGTACAAGTCATAAGCTCTACAGAGTTCGCTACAACTTCTAAATACAACTGTCTGGAAATAAGTAAAATAGTGTGAATACAAAATAGGAAGGTGACTCCGAAGCCTGCGAACGCAGCAGCAGGTTTACCTTGAGTCTTCACAGCAATGATCCACACACCGACTACCGATCAAATACCTGGATCTGCACAAAAATGTGAAGAAGCGTAGTATGAGCACACCACAGCGGTGACCAGTATGTATCAAGACTAACATCAGTGGAGTAGTGACGAGGAACAGTCAAGACACCTACTGGTCTAATAACCTGAACAAATATAAGAATAGGAACAACATGGTATGATATCTACATAAAGACTATGCAATATGCCTAACAATACAGTAATTGCAATAAGAAAGGAAGACAACAAGTATCAGCGGAATACCATAATAATGACACAGAAAAGTGAACGGAAACACAACCTAAATCCGACATCACAGTTACAGCAAAGACAAGAAATAACTCAGCAACTATGACTGCTCTCACATCGGGTTTTAGTCGACAAATTCCACGAGGTGCTGTGCCTCGGAAAAATCACAACTCACGGGTCTCAATACTTGAACCCTAACACTTGGCATCATGTGCCCTCGTAACACCTCATAACTGCACTAAAGACTCACATGCCCAATAGAGCCATTCTCACATAGAAGGCAAGTAAACAAGGGTGTGCATCAATACTCAACAATATCAAGAAAACCCTTTATCCGAAAAGAGTGCTTAACTACGTGTATGCTTGAGCAAGTGTCCCAACATAGTTCATACCGGCTAGTGAGCATAAGGAAAAGAACGGAGATCACGTAGAATGTTTTCTCACAGCTTTCACAATATAAAGCTCACACAGGTAAACGTACCGCCACACATATATCAACAACAAGAATTCCCTTAGGCCATCACAAATCATCACAATCAATCCCTGACATAGCCCACCTTGTCTCGCCACGTGTGCACTAATAAAGTAAGTGCCCGCCTTGTCTCGCCACACGTGCAATATAATGTTCCCACCTCGTCTCGCCATATGCGCAACCCATATATATATATATATATATATATATATATACACACACACACACGCCGCATGTGCAAATATCAAGAGTAACAATAGCATGGCAGAAACCTTGTGCAATCCAATAACACTCACACGGCAGAAAGCTCGTGCATCAAAATAACAACCAACACATGGCAAAAACCTCGTGCATCACAATAACAACCGCATGGCAGAAACCTCGTGCATCACAAAAACAACCGCATGGTAGAAACCTCGTGCATCACAATAACAAGTACAACAGTAACAATGACAATAAATACAAGAGTACGACAAGTAAATCAATTCAAAAACTTTCGATCATAAAGAAACGGTAGAAGTAGTTCATAAGGAATAACTGCAATGGAGAATACTAGGCGTAATAAGAACAGCTCAATGAGGGAGGAAACAATATGTAACAACGATTCCACAATATACAGTTCAACAACAATGGAGCTAACACGAGTCGAATAATTCCAAGTAAGGACCTGTCAACTAAAATATAGGATATCTAAACGTCATTTAAGGTTGGGCAATTACGAAGAATATACAACAAATTCAATTAAGGATAAGCGGTGGTAAGATAATCATAATCTCAATTAAGACTAAACAATTACAGGATGAGATAATAATAATTCCAAATAAAGATAAGCAGTGTTATGAAAAGATAGCACGACAATAGAAAAGGTTAAAATCTTCAGTTAAGTCAAATAAGAGTCAAATAGGCAATAAGAGTAAATCATAAAGCAATTAATTCCAATTAAATCATGTAAAGGTGAAACTAGTAAATAGGAAACTCAATCATATCAAGAACAATTTCATACTCAGTGAATATGAGGACCTAGAACCCTAAAAGGCCAACTTCCATAAATAAGTCCGAGCACGCACTCATCACCTCGCGTACACGGACTACAATTTTCATAGGAGACTCAAATCCTAAGGGAAGGTTTCCCCACACAAGGTTATGCAAGATACTAACCTCAAAGAAGACAAACCGATACTCAAAAATGAACTTCTCGGGTGAGATGACCTCCGGACGGCTCCAAAATAACTTCCAAGCATAAATAAGACTCATAAGAAACTATTCTGGATCATAAAGTCTCAATCTTTATCAAAATCTAAAAATTGACCCAAAAGTTGACCCCCGAGCCCGCACCTCGGAACCCAACAAATTTCACAAAATCCGAACACCCATTCCGATATGAGTTCCACCATACAATCATTATCAAATTCCGATACCATTTCGTCCTTCAAATCATGATTTTTCATTTTAAAAATTTTCTTCAAAAATCTCCATTTTCCTAAACTCAAAACACAAATTAAATGATTAAAACAAAGATAAAATCATGGAATATAATAAATTCTAGGTGTAGAACACTTACCCAATCGATTTGCTTCAAAATCCACAAAGAATCGCTCAAAACCGAGCTCTACAAGTCAAAATATGATAAAAATGGTCTAACCCTCGATTTAAAGATCTTATATTCTACCCAGATGACTATGCATCGCGATCGCGAGGGTTCTTCCGCTATCGCGAAGAAGGAAAAGAAGGCTGCCCAGAATGACCCTATGCAAATGCGAAAGAAGAGATGCGAACGCGGATAACATTAAGCTAGACTTACGCGATCACGTGCCCAAAGACTCGAACGCGAAGAACAGAGTGAGGAAGCAAGACTACCAATACGCGAACGCGGAAGATCAAACGCGAACGCGGTGAAAAAGATTTCAAAAGTCCGCGATCGCGAACCGTACTATGCAAACGCGATGAAGAAAAATAGGGCAGATAAACAAAACACTACGCGATCGTGACTGGAACTACACGATCGCGAAAGAGAACATCAGACACCAGAAACCAGCAATCCAAAAATAGAAGAAATTGGCCCGTAGCTCATCCGAAACACACACGAGGCCCTCGGGACCCGTCTAAACACACAAACAAGTTCTATAACGTAACATGGACTCGCTCGGGGCCTCAAATCACATCAAACAACACCGAAAATGCAAATCGCGCCATGAATCAAACTTATGAACTTTCAAATCTTCCAACTTTTAGAACTCATGCCGAAACCTATCAAATAAACCTGGAACAACACCAAATTTTGCAAACAAGTCCCAAATGACATAACAAGCTGTTCCAACTATCGAAATCACATTCTGGCCTCGATATCACAAAAGTAAACTCTTGGTCAAACTTCTCCATCTTCCGAACTTCAACTTTTCCAATTTTCGCCGAAATGCTCAAATTACCCTACGAACCTCCAATTCCAAGTCCGGACGCGCGCCTAAGTCCAAATCACCAAACGAAGCTGTTGACATCATCCAAAACTCATTGCGGAGCCATTTACTCAAAAGTCAAATTTTGGTCAAATTCTCACTATTTAAGCTTCCAAAACTAGAATCCTTCTTTCAATTCGACGAATCATCCGGTAACCCAATTTGACCACGCACGTAAGATAATGCACATAATACGAAGCTGCTCAAGATCTTAAGCCGCTCCCTTAAGCTAGAACATAGTAAAAGCAATCCCACTCGTCTCAATAATACCCATGGTGCGGAGAAGGCGATGGCACTCCTCCTGAAAATTAGTGCACTCTCTGAAGCCAAACCACTGAATGTAGGAGGGCCATATTTCTTGAACCTTTCAAGTCTAAAATGCTCTTCCTCAGATGCTTCTGCCCTAACCATGGGCTGAACTTGAACTACAGACTGTATCGCCATGACACCTGGAACCTGATCAACGTGAACTTGCTGCTCTAGAGTGTGGGCGGTGGAAGTCTGAGTCCCTCCCCCAATCTATGAAGTAGCTGGCACAACCGGAATCAACCCCTCCTGAGCCAATGTGCCAAACATGCTCAGGAACTATGCTAAGGTCTCCTGAAGTCCGGGGGTAACAACAGGCGCCTCCTGTACTTGTCCCCCAACTGGAGCTACTGGCGGCTCCTCAACTACTGCTCTGTTAGGTGCTCTAGCTGCGGCACGTGCTTCTCGTCGGCCTCTACCTCTGTCTCTAGTGACACCTGCTCCGAGAGCAGCGTCATCGATGACTGCAGCACATGTCCTCACCATATATGAGAGAATAGAATGATAAAAGTTCAAACTCCACAATCAATAAGCTTGCACGATAGGAATGAAAGAAGTGAGATTGTCCTAAAAGTTCCGTAGCCTCTCGAAGATAGGTACAGACGTCTCCGTACCGATCCGCAAGATTCTACTAAACTCGCTTATGACTCGTAGCAACGATGAACCTAGAGCTCTGATACTTAGAACTTGATGTTAATAATGCCTTCCTCCATGGTGATCTCCATGAGGAAGTCTACATGAAGGTTCCCCTTGTGCTTCAGGTTTCCCCTACTGATTCTTCTTCATTACCTTTGGTTTGTAAGCTCAAAAAGTCTCTATATGGACTCAAGCAAGCCTCCAAACAATGATTTTCTAAGTTGTCTAAGGCTTTGTCTATAAGAGACTACATTTCTAGTATGAATGACTATTCACTATTCACCAAATCTACCTCTACTTCTCTGACAGTCCTAGCAGTGTATGTTGATGATATTTTACTAGATGGGGATGATGTTGTTGAATTAGACAGTGTGATGCTATTCTTTGATCAACAATTCAAGATTAAGGATTTGGGGACAATCCATTATTTTCTTGGTTTGGAGGTCACCAAATGTCCTCATGGCTACATCATCAGTCAACAAAAATTCACAAATGACTTGCTGGCAGAGTTCCATTGCAAAAATATTTCCCCTATTGTGACTCCTCTTGATGCTTCTGTCAAGTTGTATGTTGACATGGGTGCCCCTTTGACTGATCCCAGCATATATAGGAGAATTATTGGCAAACTCAACTTTCTCAAACATACAAGGCCTGATTTATCTTTTTGTGTTCAACATCTAAGTCAATTTCTTCAGGCTCCTCAAGTTCCCCATATGTTTGCTGCCCTTCATGTGTTAAGGTATCTATCCAATGCCCCTGATTTAGGGATCCTTCTATCTTCCTCTTTTGATGTTTCTATCAAGGCCTACTCTGATTCTGATTAGGCTGCCTGTGCTGAGTCAAGAAGGTCTGTTTCTGGTTTTTATATTACACTTGGTGATTCCCAATCTCCTGGAAAAGCAAGAAGCACCCCACAGTTTCATTGTCTTCTACTAAAGTTGAATCCAGGGCTCTTAGAAAGGTGGTTGCAGATGTCTCATGGTTGGTCCGGGTACTGGGTGATCTTGGTTTACATGTTTCTGCCCCTGTTCCCATCTACTGTGACAGTCTTGCTGCTTTACACATTTTCAAGAATCCAGTCTTCCATGAACGGACAAAGCATATCGAAATTGATTGTCACTATGTGCGTGAAAGTCTCCATTTTGGGCTGATATCTCTGCATTTTGCGCCCAGTTCTACCCAGCTTGCTAATATTATGGCAATGCCTCTTCCTAGGCCCTTCATCATTCTTTACTTGGCAAGCTTGGTGTGTTATCACCCCCAAGCTTGAGGGGGGGGGGGGGGTATTGACATACACAGCTCTACACAATCCGACAGATCTCCACAGCCCAAGCTATATCTACAGCAACAGGCTCAGCCCAATAGCTAATACGTTTAGCACATTCAGTTGTAACACATTGTAAAACTAGACCACTTAGTAAGATAGCCTTTTTTACATTTGATTGTATAGCCATGTCATGCAAGTATATAAATGCTTAGGACTATTCTAGAAACAACAAATTATTCATTTTAATAAAAAGATCAGATATTTTTCTCTCAATTTCTCTCTCTCTCTCTCTCTTTCTCTGAAGATTAGGGCATTTTCACTATGAAAATTCCCTCTTAGCTTCCGTAAATTCCACCATTAACAGTTATATCATTAGGCGCCAACAAATTTTATTTTATATCTCACGAGGAAATGGGCCTTAATGGCTTTTACTCAAGAGATAAAACTTAAAAAAGGTTACTTAAAAGTCCATACTTTCCTATTTAAGATGTTTAGACCAAGGACCATAATAACTTATTAAGTAATGAAATAACAGTAAAGTAAAGAAGAATTAACCCAAATAACCGTTTATATATGTGTAATTATATATAATCAATGTATAATTTATGTATATGGTTAGAAAAAATAAACAATAAATATAACCGGCTGAGTGATCAAGCTTGTCTGGCCAGGGGCGGATTTAGGGGGGCGGAAGAGGGTTCACCCGAACCCTCATCGCCGGAAAATTACACTGTATATATAAGGCAAAATTTATTTTTTACCTCTATATATTAAGTTTTGAATCCCCTTAAAATAGCCCAAAAGTGTAGCTTAGTGGCCAAGGGGGTTCAAAACCTTTGTAAGATAATAGGTTCAATTCCCAATAGCTACAAATTTTTTTGACATCTTTCTTTTTGAACCCCTCTCGTGAAGATCCTGCCTCCGCTACTGTGTCTGACTCCTTTCTTTGATACACAAAACATAAGAAATAAACACCATAGGAGCATGCTAAACAAATTCGTAAGCCTATATATGGCAAAATACATTATGCAATCCGGTTCTTAATAGACTAACAAACACACATGGTCGGCCAAATTCTAGTTTTCTTGCCCCAAAATACAGAGATATGAGACAACAAGAAGTCCAGTGTCTTAACTCTTGTTCAATGTATTCCCAATGTCAAGCACAAAACGGTACTTGACATCCGATTTCGCGAGACGCTCCATAGCTGTATTCACATAGTCCATTGGCACGACTTCAACATCTGGTGTAATGTTATGCTTTGCCGCGAAATCTACCATCTCTTGTGTCTCCTTTATCCCTCCTATGGCACTCCCTGCTACTAGCTTCCTTCCTGTTTATCATATTATATAACCTCTGTATAAATGCATGTATATATATATATATATAGAAACAGTCGATTCAAGAACGTACCTAAAGCAAAGGAATACAGGCAACTCTAGTGGTTATCTGGTGCGCAACTATTACAGCTTCCATGTAGTTTTAACAATTAATCAATGGAAGAGTGGTGAACTGCAGAGACAGTGTCAATGATGCCATCAAGCGAGCCCGCTGCAGCCTGTTTACATGTATAAATGAAAACTTACTATTCTTATATCTAAACTCCCGTTTAAGANCAATTGCTTCTTGTTTCTTACTAGCAGATGTACTAATAACAGTCACTCTAGTTCCAAATGCCTTGGCAAATTTCACAGCTATATGGCCAAGGCCACCAAGACCAACAACACCAATATGCATTCCAGGTTTGTCAAGTCCAAAATATTTCAAAGGACTATAAGTTGTGATTCCAGCATTTAGCAATGGAGCAGCTTCCATTGGCAAGTTCTCCGGCCAATGAACCACGTAGTGCTCGTCCGTTACCATGATATCAGAGTAACCTCCATACGTGGTGGTTCCATCGGTGTAAATACCATTGTATGTCATTATATGATCGGGACAGTAAATCTCGAGATTGTTGTCACAGTTTTCACATTTGCGACATGATCCTACCAAACATCCCACACCTACTTTGTCACCAACCTTAAATTTCTCCACCTTGCTACCAATCTCAGTTACCACACCAACAACTTCATATCTGGAACAATTGACAATTTCAAAATATCAGTCGTATTAGATATGAACATGTGATTAAATTGCACTTTCGAATTTGCAAGATGAATAGATAGTTTAGTAGTTCCCGTGTCATCCTTAATTGACATAAATCCGCTATTGATCTCTTGAAAAAGATAAATGCAAATTTAATTATGATTCAATCTTTCTCATTCCATTAAAGAACTCTTAAAATGGAATTAGCGTAACCATTTGCCAAGACAGAAACTTGAATTTTCTCCTATAAACCTTGATTTGGCTTAAGTAGAAACCTTCACGTCAATTAAAAGAAGATGCAACAAAAGGAAAAGTACATGTTTTGCAAGAGTTTAATTTACTGCATTGACGATGTCAAAAATATCTGCACGATAGATCAATTATAATGCAACTATACACTATAGGAAAAAAAGCTTTTTACTGACTAAAAGTCTATGTCGCCCGATATGACGACCTATCTTAAATGTGACGCACTTGTTTACCTTTTGTTGCGAGCTTAGTCGCCGCCAAAAGCTAATAACAAGAAAATTAGATTTTGTGGCGGCTTAGTTCGCCAAAAGGTAAATAATGTGCCACAGGACGCCGCTCCAACCGGCGATATAGACTTTTGGTGGCGACTACAGTAGTCGTCACAGAAGCTCGTCACTAAAAGCTATATGACCTATAGTGATAGATAAATCTATGACAAGAGTGGGTTCCACACCCTCCACTTCTAATCAAAAGGTTGTGAGTTCGAGTCACCCCAAGAGCAAGGTAGGGAGTTCTTGGAGGGAGGTATGCTGAGGGTCTATCGGAAACAGCCTCTCTACCCCAGGGTAGGGTTAAGGTCTGCTACACACTACCCTCCCCAGACCCCACTAGTGGGATTATACTGGGTCGTTGTTGTTGTTGTTCATAGATAAATCTATATGATAAATACTAATAATATTAAGAGCAAGGTGGGGAGTTCTTGGAGGGAGGGATGCTGAGGGTCTATCGGAAACAACCTCTCTACCCCAGGGTAAGGGTAAGGTCTGCGTACACACTACCCTCCCCAGACCCCTCTAGTGAGATTATACTGGATTGTTGCTGTTGATGATAGATAAATCTATATGATAAATATTAATAATCTGATAAAAACGTTAATTACCATGTTATCACAAGTTAGATTACACATCTTTTACACGTCAATGTATACAAGTTAAATTCAAATGCAAATAAATAATTAAAAAGTAAAAGAATGGAAACTAACCCAGGTACCATTGGATATATGCTATCGCTCCATTCATTCTTCAGCTGCTGAAGATCAGAATGACAAATTCCACAATACATAACTTTGAACTGCACATCCTTCTCACCCGTGGCTCTGCACCCATAATTAATCCAAACCAAATTACCCCCATTTTAGAGTTTTCTCTAGCCATAGCACCACTAATAAAACAGAGAAGCTGAATAAATTTAACTAAAAAAAAAAAAAAGCTAACTAAAATTTAGGATAAAATAATCAAATAATACCTTCTTGTAAAGTTGAAAGGAGAAAGAACACCAGAAGCATCTCTAGCTGCCCATCCAAATGCCTTTACTGGGTTTTCATTCTCATATAATTTTGCCATTTTCTTAACTTTTGTTTTTTTAGAGATATAACAACAAATTGAGTACTAATTAATTGCAGTAGGAAATATATAGATAGTAAAGTGGTTGGCTGTGGATATTATGTATATATTGGCCTTTGATATCACCTAAGGGACAATCTTCCTTCGATCTGTGTGGCATATACACGGGACAAATGTGTTACTGCATGGGGTCCGTGTATGATCGCGATTGACCAAACACAGAATAAGAGAAAAGTGAAGAGCCTTCTAAGATATATCATAAATTATCGTGATACACGTGCTTTTGGGCTTAAAGCTGGCGTAGTCGGAGAGACAAGTCTGTGAAATCTATTGGATCAAATCGAATATAACGTGACATGAGCTTGGATTGTGACACAAATAATCACATGACCTATTTTTTTTTAATAGGATTCTAATATATATCAAAAAGGGAAAAAATAAAGGTTATTATATTCCTCTATATAAGTTAATTAGGGCAGGGACGAATCTATATGGGAGGCAATGGGTTCACGTGAGCCTATGCTCCCCTCCCTAAATTATGTATAGCACTTAAATTTTTTTGATTTAGTTTTTGAATAAGCATGTGTGAAGTCATGTACAAGTGGGCACTTTAGCTTAGTGGTCAGCGCGTGCATCTTTAACCCAAAGGCCCGGTGTTCAATTCCTACTTGCTCCTTCAAAGTTTTTAGTTTTATTAAAAGCATGAAAGCTCTTAGTGAAATATCGTTCTTTTTTATACCCCTTTAAAATAGGATTCACACTGGACAAAGTAGTCACATAACTATTTCCTAATATTTAACACTTTGAAATTAACTAAAACATTATTCATTAGAATTTTCCTTATTTGATTGGTCACGTTAGAAATCCTAATAATTAGAACACAAGAATCAAATTATGATTTACTTTCTATAAATATTTACCTTTTAAATTAATGAGCTTTATTTTACCAAAGTTCTGAATTGAGAATATTGCTTCTATATAAGTATTTGTTCATTTTTTTATTTGATATTAAATATCTTTCCCAATAACAACAAAAAATATTTTCTTACCAATTTTGCCTCTTTGTTTCCCTTTCAAACGAAAGTAATTGATATTCTTAAAATTTTAATGGGTAAGTTTTCATTTAACAGCTAAATATATCTATTTTATTTGGTTTAAATGATAAAATTTCAGTCTAAACATTGACAAATTTATCTGAAATAGAAGAAATATACAGTTAAAATAAATAGTCTGTGCACCTAAAAGATATATAAAAAGAAACATTACTTAGTTTGTATTGCATTATTTTGCTTAAAACTTTTTCTTTGACAAAAATAATGGAGCTTTAAGCAAGTATATTTACATATTTTCTCTCCCCAAAAAAATACACAGTTAAAATAAATTGCATGTAAAGGAAAAATAAAAATAAAGTATACAATTGCAACTTCATTATTTTGGTTGTACATATTTTACTAGGCAAAAAAATTACGGAGCTCCAACCAACTTCTTTTACTAATTTGTCTCGAAAATAAGAATATACAATTAAAATAAATAGTCATTTGTCTAAGGAAAAATGACAAGAAATACATTGTTCGTACTCCATTATTTTGGATAAAACTTTTTTTAATTGGCTCAAATGATGGAGTTTTAGTTAAAATTTATTACAATTTTGACCCCAAAAAAGTAATACACAGTTGAATCATAGCCATTGTTTTCAAATAAAAAATTTTAAAAATGTAAAATTAAATGGGGATAAGATATGCATTGTATATTAAGAAGAAGCAAGAAGAAATACACAATTCATCCCAAAAAGTATTGTATATGACTATGTTATAATTTACTAAAAATACCCTATCTGAAAATTATTTTTTTTACTCTCACACGCCTAAATGAGAGTGTCAATGCTCTTTGTCATGTCAGCGACCATGGGATATCAACTATCAGATAGTAAAGTTCGGGTGAGTAAATAAGACTACGAACAAGTTAGGTGTGTAACTAATAATATGTGCCAAAATTAAATTTTCTTAACATAAACTCCATGTTTTGCTCATAATTAATATATTCTTTCAGAATCTATTAACATTAAGAAATTACATGACAATCTTAGGCTCGTAGGGGTTGTTTGGTACACTGGATAAGGTGGAATAAAGTGTGGTACTAAATTTATACTATATTTGGTTGGTGGTATAAATTTATTCCGGGATAAATTTATACCAACAACCAAACATAGTATAAGTTTGTCCCAAACTTAATCCTGGATATCCCATCTTATCTCACATTATCCCATCAAACCTGGTATTGTTTTATCCCACCTCACATCTGGGATAAATTAGTCTAGGGATTATAATCCCGTGACTATAATACCAGGATAATTTTGTCCGCGTACCAAACGACCCCTTTCTTCCATAGAAAGAAATTTTCAAATGTACAGTTATGTACTAGGACAGAGAAAGAAAGCCCAATTACAAAACGAAGGAAGAGCAGATTAATCAAAACATAAGAGTTGAATCCAAGCATTTGCAATAACATTTTTTAATCTGTTGAAAATAATTATTGTTGTATTTCTTATTGGTTAAGAAATAAAACAATTGCGTTTTGGTCGTGAGAAAAAAAGACCGTCTTTTATCAGTTTTATATGAATAAGATGATTAAGGACTAATAAGTGGAGTTTCTTACTTTATTGAGTTAGCTAAATAGGATCAACAATCATCATTTTAGAAACTTACAGTTTTGTTAACATTAATTTTAAACTCAAACAAAAGTTTTAATATAATATTTACTTATTTTTCAAACTTTTATATTTATTGAGGTAAAATACACGCGCAACGCGTGTACCCTAAGACTAGTAATGCAAATCACGTATCTACGGGAAAATAGAAGTACATAAAAAGATTTACGTAATAGGATGGATGGAGAATTTTTAATAGTTTTTAGCTTGCTACATATAACGTAAGATATTCAAAACGGTAAGTAATGATTTTATTAGGGATAGTTCTCAAAGTATGAAAACTAGCTAATAATATTAATGAGAGTTTGCTCGTTAACTTGGGTCACCGTAAAAAAAATTATATTATCAAATCATATATTGATAAAGATATTATTGTACCTATACTCTTAAAATCTTAGATACGCCTCTGAATTAGGCTTAGCCAACTTTGAATTCTACACAACTCTTGGAAGTCAAAATTGTGCGATATGCAATCAATTATTTGCACCTCCATCCACGACCGTTAGGTCCTGAGTTCGAGTCACGCCGGAGGGGAAGTGTGGAAACACTATAGATCCTCCTAAATTGGGACGGAATTTGAAAAAAAAAAAAATCATTTTCCAACTCTTCTTCACTTCTTGTTATATAATAGCTTCCTCTGTTGAAAAAATTATACATAATATACTTCCAAAACTAATCAGAAATAAAAAGTGACAAACAATAATTTGAGGACAAAAATTGTAGTTAAAGAAAAAGCTAATTATCTTGACATGATCAAAATCAAATCAAAGAAACTACTACTACAATGACTTAACTGTGTGTCAAATGTCAAATGAATAAATGCAGCGTCGACACTACCACTTGAGGACAATATCTCAATCCACTAAAATTCGGGGTAAAAACTGTCGGTGGGATATTTTTTCCCCCTAGGAAAAGATTTTCAGCATCTGAATTGATGATCCAAACCTTCAAATAACTTTAAATATACTTGTCATTTTAATGTTCATATACAAGTCCGCTTTTATAATTGTTAGAAAGATAGAATTGAAGAACGATCTTGATAGCGTGAAAAATCACTATCGTAAAGTGATATTGCACGTATACTGTTTAGGGAAATACATGCAAGATATTTCAGGATTCAACAAAGCTAATGAATACAACAAAATGACTTAGAGGCCTCATTTGTTTTTGAAGAAATAAGCAAACCAGGGATGTATATGGGTAAAATTGGGGCTAAGAAGCACTCCGATTTCCTAGTGGGGGATACGAAGCGAGGACATAACTATCAAGGAATCAAAATAAAGTTGGGAACCTCCCGTATCAAGGCCCGAACGAAGCATCTGCCCCCGGAGCCATCGAGACCATGTCCCGGGACCCCGATTTGAATAACGATACCTCGGAGAGCATTGCCAAACGTCCGCACACGATTAACAAAGGGCCATGATATCCGTGCCAGATCAAATATCACGGCATGAATCTCGACCCATATCAGCAGTTGATCAGTGATTAGAGAAAAGGAAGATCCTCACCTTTCTTAGAATTGTACTTAGGGTAAAACTCCCTTACTATATAAAGGAGAAAATTATTATTCAATATGCACGTTGAAACACGCATACCAGAGCAATACACATCTGTTTTCTCTGTTTCTAAAGTCATTCAAAGTTCTTACCTTTGTTCATAAGTTCTTCATAAGTGTTGGCTCCGAACCGGAGGCAGGCTACTTGTTAAGCGTTTAACCGAGCCTGGATTCAGTATCACCACTGGTTTGGCCGTTTATTCTAATTTTTATTTGCTTATCTAACGTCATTAATCACTTGTATTGAATTAGTCCACATATCCTTAAAACCGCGTATAAATTCATTTGTTATCCATTTTTTAAGGGTAAACAGTTTGGCGCCCACCGTGGGGCTAAGGATAATAGTGGTAATTTGATACATATTCCCATGAGATACTTTATTTTATGCTTGTTGTTTGAGATTTTAATTTCAGATCTATCTAAGAATGTCAAACTCTCAATCTGCTCACTTGAACGTTGATGTTGAATTTGGCCACCATGGCGAAAACAATAATGTAGTACCTAACAACAAGGTGCCCCCTGCTGACCCGACGAGGTTCTAGTTGCAGACCCAATCGATGCGAACTCACAAGTGGCCATCGATGCCAACCTGCCGACCAACCCCGAAAACAGCGTTTGTGGAGGAGCCCGATCAACAGCTCGAGGTATGCCCGACGGTAAAGGCGACGGAATCAATATGCGGGTGATCTTCGAATTGTTACAAGCCCAACAGGCGGCGATAGCGTAGCTGCAGAACCAAAGTCGCGCCGCCAGCAGAGTCGAGCCCGAGCCATCCCGGGAAAACACCCACAGAAATGAACCAGTCATGGAAAGTCCGGGTGA